TGGCTCGCACTGGCCACCCTGGGCTCCAACTCCACGGGGCGGCTGCCAGGGGCCACGAAAGCCGTGGCCAAGGCTCCAGCGCCCAGGACAGAACCCACAGCCACTTTGGAGACAGGTGCCATGGGATTGACGGAGATGTGTCTAGGAATGCAGCGCGAGAAGAGCCAAAACTTCAGCAGGTTAGAACTTTGTGTCTGAGTCTAAATGTGAATGTTTTCTTTCTTGGTCAATGCATCTAGTAAACACCTGGTTCAAATCCCGGTTTTGTACAAGATTCCTCTACCATCCGCATCAGAATCCTCCTGCTTTGGGGCATGCTTAGGTTCACATCCAGCCATGGACTGATTGTCTGGGAGGACTCCCGCCTCCTCGTGCTTGGCGCGAGAACTGCCCGAGTTCACCTCAACAAAAACGGTGGTCAGTCACAGCCCTGTGGCCACAAAGGGCCATTGCACTGCAACAAAACGGCGCTGTGCGTTGGGAACCCATGAAGTTCAAGAAGAAAAAGGTTTCATCGATTCTGGCGAGATGCTGGTCACTCAACACTCCTGGAAAACCTTCAGGAGGCTCGTAGGGTTTCGTGTCACCTTCGCTTCATTTTAGAGTGGATTCTCGGGCGTTTTGCGAAGAGTATGTGGCCCATGAAAACTCGGAGAACCCGCAAATGCCCTGAGTGAAGACTGGGTGCGTTGAAAGCGTGTTCTTCAGGTGACATGAACATGACTTTGTTTGGCGTTCTTGTCATGTTCATCTCATGATTTTCTCGGATTCCATTGACAAACACCCAGCCCAGGACCAGCAGCCCAGGCGCCATGGCTGCCTCACACAGGTTTAGCATCGCCATGGCATTTTCGTAGAGCTCGGGCGTCCGGTCCTTCAGGAGGCTTAAAGACCAGCATTTTGGGGAGGCCAAAGCCATTTGAGTCTTTTGAATACCATCCGAGATGTGTGAATGAATACCCCCTTTAACCTCTTAACAGGCCCTTGGACACCCCTTGCGCCGGGGGCCCTGGTGTAGGTCTCCGTGCGCCGGATCGGGCGACCAACCGAACATCGCCGCACCGGTTGCCCCCCGGTGGCTTCGGTGAACCGGCGTCGCGCGGCGTCGCACGGGCTCGTGGCAACGCCGCTCCTCCACGATGCTCCGCACCAACCAGTGGATCTTCAGAGCAAAGGGCAGTGACTGGGCAGCCTGCGGGACGAAACGCACGGCCGCACGGTCGAGCCGTGTCTAACGACTGCGTGAAACACAGGAAGGTCTGGCCCCAAATGGTTCCCGCGTGTTTTGTTCAGTCTGGCCCTGGAAGTCAGACTTTAGTCAGAGTGCGTCAAGGTGCAGCGCTGTGTGATCGTGTTGCTATTATAAATATGTAGTGTTTATTGGCTACTGCTTGGCAGGCCAAGTCCATTCACCACAAGGAGCCGATCCTTCCATACCGTCGACCAGGTTATAGGCCTCGTCCTTGAAGAAGGTCATGCCGCTTGGCCAGTTCAGTTGATCCAGGTCATTAGATTGAAGTAATTTGAGAATTGGCAGCAGGGGTCACGATTCTCTTGAAGTATTCTGACATAGTGGTACTTCTGTTTGACTGGCCAACTTGGATGAGCAGCTGGACTTCACCCTGCAAAGGTTGAATGGGGCGGCCACCGTGATGATAGAAGGCGAGGAGCTGTGTCAAAAAGGGCAAGTCACTCTTTTGAGCTTTGGTCTGCTCAACCACGGGTTTGGGCGATGTTGCTGTGATGTTGCTCAAATCCTCTCATCATCGAGTGCTACATCATGCACGACTTCGGCTGCTTCGTCGGCTTCGTCGGAATTCGTCGGGATGTGTGTGTGCGGGTGTGTGATCGAGCTCGATAAAAGTACAGTATGGTATGTATGGTGACTATACAGTGTGAGAAACAAGGATCAACTACGAGCACCGGCAAACAAAGCCATGGGTACAAGCTGGAACCCGGTCCCGGCGAACTGGTCCAACATAACGACCCTCGTTGGGCTGGACATCCACCTCGCGCGGTCGAACGGTGTTTAAGCAGCCGTTGTACCGAAGGAGCCCAGTGTGGAACATGCCAAGGAGAACCGGTCGTGTGCAAACGACGGAGCCGGTCATGTGGACAGATATTGCACCCCACATGCATCACGCTGCAGGCTGCAGGTGAAGTCGGCAGGGCCGATCTTGCAGTTGCTATTCCATCGTGGCAAGAAAGAGGTGGATCATCGGCAGGGTAGGGGAGAGCGATTCCCCACAGGAAGACGCACCCACGGGGCGCCTGAGAGGCGCACGAACTTGGTTCACGCCCTCACATGGTTTGGTTTACGCGCCCTAGTGCGAAATGCTGGTGTGGGCGTACTTTTTGGGAGGGACCATCAACCGTGCTGTGCACACAGATGGAGTGATGAAGAGGAAAAGCCCTCTTGATGAAAGCTGATCGGCACCGAGCAAACTCTGCACTCATGACTCTCTCTAACATCATTGCATGTGCAAGATTTCGGATTGGCCAACCCACACAACGAGCGAATTCTCACCAAAGAATGGGCTCCACCGGCCTTGTCCAGCAAAAAGCGGTGCAGCGAGGACTTGTTGTACCTAAGCAAGGCCACCTGGCTCAACTGCGGCAGGTAGTAGTCCTCAAGTGGCGGCAGAAGTTACAAACACCCTGATTCTGGCAGATCCAGCATTCGTCTAAGTCGTCAAAGAGTCGTTGTACACCCGGTGTTTTAGCGTTACATTGTACAGTTTGGGCTCGCACTCCTGGCAGCTGAGCGAGCTTTTTCTCTCGAGTGCATTATCCTGTTTTATCACTATAATGTTCATTTCATGGCGTTTGCCCACCTGTCGTGGTTTCTTGTGGACCCAAGATGGCTGCGCGGCCAATCACCACCAGTCATCACCAGTCATCGTCTGATCAAGCTTCCACGTCATCATCTGTCATCTTGTACAGCTCATTGACCTGGTCCGGCCCACAAACCAAGACTCGGCAGCAGTTTAGCTTTCACAGTGGCAACGCGCGAAAGCCAAAAGTCCCCTGGCATTTGGGCGATTATATATGATTATATATACAAATCACCCAGCTGAACCCCAGGACCCGTGTCACACCTGAACAAAGGCTCAAACATGCTCTTTCTGTTTCAGGGGGACACCAGCCACCCTGAAAAGACGGAACATGTATTGAAATGTATTGATCAAGGCATCTTGCAACGGTGAGTGCTGGCACAGGGCACCATTCCGTTGACCTCCACAGTTTCGGCCTCTCGACGGACAGCTCATGGAACTGAACCACTCAAACCCTCTTGCCATCCAGAGCCACCGACCCACCCACCCAGCTGCGCTGCAACCCCTGGAGACACGGCGCCAAGTAGTCCTGGACGCCACTCTGCTCCATGCGCAGTAGGTAGTGCATATGGAGATGGGCATCGAAGTACTCGGACCTGGAACGGCGGCTACCAGGACCACTACACGAACTCCATGTGCGTTGACTTGAGATGAAGCCGAGAGTTCCCGCATGCGAGAGCAAAGCCAACAAACAAGCACCACCAAGTAGTTAAGATGGTGTCACCCATGAAACCCAACAGATGCCGCTCAGATGCCGGAACAACCGGAGCAAAGACCCGCCGCTCATCCTCAACACACGACCCGTTGAGCGAAACGGGCAAACACCGTTGAGTGGTGGGTCATTGGTGCGGCTTCTTTAGGGTGGATGAAGGCTGCGTTGAAAGGGTAGTTGGGAGAGTATTGCTGTCCCCCAAGTTGATTGAAGCTCTTGCAATCTCAAAGCAAATCCGGAAAGTCATGGGGACACGGCCAACTCAGTTGTCTTGTCCGGAATCAGCCAAAAATTCACAAATGAGTATATAGAGAAGAGTAGAAATGTCAAACCAAATAAATCAGCATGCAGCAATGTACTCTCCGAATTAGAAGTCTAGTTGTAGATCTCAATCTGGAGACTGCAGGTGCCTGCACATGCTTTTCAGCCAGGCGATTGACTCTCCCGTAGGTCCCCCGTCGCTGCTTTCGGCCACGCTACCGGGAAACTGCGCCCTTGGTGCTGATCCGCACCGTCTGCTCACATCGAGGACAAGGAGAGACCGCAGATGTCGGTAGATCTTGAGGGTGGTTTTCGGTGGAGTTTGGTCGCAGGGAAAACTTTCCTACGGCGGTGCCGATGGTCCAGGCGCTCCGGTTTCGTTGCAAATGGTGTTGCTTTCTTTTTTACATTGTCTGTGGCATGCGAACACATCTTCCCAGCTTTTGATGCTAAACAGGTTTAGCTGCTTCACGTCTGCACCAGTAGCTCAGCTCAGTGATTGGTTGACTCGCTTGCGGAGATGCCTCTATTGCGCAGTGTCACACCGGACTCTCTCTCTCTCTCATGTCCTTATCAAAGGTCGGGAGTTATATATACACGTAAAAAGTGAATGTTCATGGGCTGCTGCCACATCTGAAGCTCCTTGTAGCAACGCAAGGCTTTGGGCTGGTTTGACACATTGGAGTCAGCTAGCTAGAGCCCACAACAACGCGGCAGCGCCCAAGGCAAAATTTGCTCTGCACATGCCCATGAACTCCAGCTTAGAATGATGGGATGGGACCTCAAAGAGGCTTGAAGCATGCTGTGACCTGTGCCAAGCAGGACAAAGGCATCCAGTTACAGGCGTCAAGTCCAATTCAGTCGATCCACTTACCGAGGTGACCAAGGTCGCCCCAACACCCACGTCGTTCTCCTCCCGATGCCGACCGGCCGCCCGCCACCCGAAGACACCGACCGCCGGACCGATCCGTCGAGGAAGCTCCGGTCGAAGAGCGCCACGCTGAAGGCCACCCGGAGCTCCTGGCGGTCGCGTCAGGCGAGTAGGCGTTTTCGGCGTGGAGCCCTCAGGACGCGTCCAGGGGCGTCCAAGGGTGAGGATCGACTGGTTTGGTGACCAAGAAATGTATGCCATACACGGTTCACGAACAAAGCGAATTGCCAACCGCCGGGATCATCAAGAACTGGTCCACACATGTCCACAAGCGAGGCCAGTCGGCTAGTTGAACATGTGCCCATCTTTACGCCTCAATTTTCTTAATTGTGACTTTCTACACTTGCTCAGTAGGACCCCGAAAAAGGACTGGTAGCTTTTTCTGATCACCATCGATTATCCCGTGGTGCCTGTTCCTCGGGGTCAAACTGATACACCACAGCCTCGAGACTTGCAGCTGAACCGAGCAGGGGGGGCAAAGGTTGTGTTTTTTGGGGGCCGTTGCTTGGCAGGCGGTCTCGTCTACAGCAGAATCTGATTCAGCATGCCAAGCACAAGTGTGGGAGGGAGTGTCATAGGTGTAGGGAATGCCCTTCACGACACTGACCAAGCAAGCACAGACTCTCAGAGGGGCACTTTCCCTTACAACTAGGCGGTGCCATCCACTTCCATGTAAGTGACTCGGGGTGTGTGACCTGTTCATCACTCGCTCATCACGGCGGTCGCATGCTTTTGTCAGCTTCCTTCCACTGGTCGACCCCGAAACTGGGCGCTCCAAACACCCAAGGACTCTGCAAGGGGAGGCCATTTGGTCCGCGGGTCGGCACCCACCTGGCAGAAACTTGAGATGGCATCAGATACCTTTTCAACACCACACCTCACACAGTCACACACACACACACACATAGAGACGAACACTTCGATGCTTACAATGACTGTCGATCATGCCTGCCACTTTCCCAAACGGTGGGGAACCAGCGTCATTCAGGCCCTATAAAGACCCGGATAAACCCTGATATTTTTTGTCAAACGTCAAACACGGAACAAAGGAGATCGTAGTCGTCGCACAAGAAAGCAACAACCTGCCTGAGCCACCCATCATTTTCTGCACCCGTAGTCAAACAACCAATTTGGGGTAGCCCTAGTAGCTCCCCACCCCTGAGCGCTCTCCAAACGAATCCAAACATCCGGAAGAAGTCCACTTCAGCACCCATTGGTGCACCAGCATCCACCACACCCGCCCTCCCCACCCCGGTCCAGTACCGAGCGTCCCAGACTCCGGTGGAGGCCGCGGCGGCCAAGCCGGCGGCCGCCTCGCGGGGATCCTCGGCATCCGGAGGAGATGACTCGCCTTTGGACTCTCTCCTTTTGGGGCCCCAAGGAGCCTCTGGGGATCTCTGGGGCCTTGGGATGCCTTGGGCTCAGGCTTTTCTCCAGATCGGCCCAGATCGGCCCCCCAAGGAGACGTTGGACATCTAAAAGAACGATGCCAAGCGGGTGGGGCGACATGGAGGGACGGCAACAACGGGCTTCGACGACCTGAGAACCCCCGGCGGATCCTTCCTCAAACTCGACGGAGTAGGACACCAGGACGTGCTTCCTGAGACACCAGGACGTGCTGCGAGTTGAACCACACCACTCGAGGTAGGAAAGGCGCCATGGGACCAAGTTCGTCAGGGCTCCGCTGGGGGCCACCTTTGCCTTCTAGAAAGCTTAGGAGTTTTGAGCAGTGTGTGCCTCTTGGAGGGGGTCCGTCTACCGTGTCCATGCATCAGTGGCCTTCTACACCTTGGTGCAAGTCCCAGTCCCCTCGTCTTGCGGTTTGGGGCTGTGCTCTGAAAGAGTGCGTGCTAGTGACATGTTCTCGAAGAGGCTTCGCTCCTGCATGCTCAACCTGCAGGGGCGGGCGAGGCCTGAAGAAAAGGGATCCCAAAGACCTGCAAATGAGTTGAGGAAGACTATACAAGTCCAGACGAACCGAACAGCTAGGTCAGCCTCGATGAGACACCGAACCTCAAGACTCCGGGCTACGATGGTGTGTGCAACGAGAAGCATCCTGGCTCAACGTCTGCTGTCCTGAGGCAACCACTGTGATGGAAAAAAACACTTGCACTGGAAGTGTTTTCTTCACGGTTGCCGCTTCACACATTGGACAGACCCAACATCCCCAAGGCATCCAACCCGAAAAGTCGCACAAAAACACGCGCCTCTCGAAACGCTTCTTCAGCGAGGGCGCCGTGCCCCAGGACTGGCGGTGGTGATTGTGAGTATGGATCATGATACAACCACTAAGCCAGGTTCCCGTGTCACACGGCCAGATGTTGCATGCAAACAAAACAGGAGCACAAAGCATTCGCTCCCCGACACCAAATAACCAGATACAAACTGACTTCGCAGGAATGCCAGTCACTGACACATTGGCAGCGCACCCTTTCTCAATTGGTGTCACGAGCCTGTACCGAAGCCAATTCCATTCAGACCGGCTTCAAATGCCTAACACCAGGACCAAACCCAGGAACTGCCAAGTTTGCCGAAGAAGTCATTTGACAATCCTTCGTCCACTCAGAATTTGCTGATACCTTGGTAGGGAAAACTTGAGGCCAAGGGGGGGGGCGAAAGCTAGCGCTCCAGAATGGGAAAGTGGAGGGCAGCGAGGAGCAGCACCATTTCCCTGTTCCCGTGTAATGTGGCTTTAAATACCAGGTGAACGACTTACAAATACATCTCGAAGCCAAATAGGCTTTGGTAGCAGCGGGTCTGCACGGAGCAGCAGAAGGCAGGACGCCTTGCACAAGTTGGGCGGGGCAAACGATTCCAGGTGAAGAGTCCTTTATATGTGGCTCTTTGCCCGGATACTCCTGCGAGAGAAGAGAGAGAAGAGAGAAGAAAGACGGAAAGACGGAAAGACGAGAGACAAAGAAGAGAGAGAGAGAGAGAGAGGAGAGAGAGATGAGAGAGAGATGAGAAAGAGATGAGGGAGAGATGAGAGAGATGAGAGAGAGATGAGAGAGAGATGAGAGAGAGATGAGAGAGATGAGAGAGAGAGAGAGAGAGAGAGCCGTTTCCACTACAAATTCAATCGAAAACACGCCGAATTCATGCCGATATAATATAAGCGGCGCCGTTTCCACTACAAATTCAAACGAATCCACGCCGAATTCAATCATTTTCCTTCCACAATACCTGCCCAACACCTCCAGCGCCGTTTCCACTACAAATTCAAACGAATCCACGCCGAATTCCATCATTTTCCTTCCACAATATCTGCCAAACACCTCCAGCGCGGAATCCACTACAAATTCAAACGAATCCACGCCGAATTCAAACATGTCCCTTCCACAGTACGTGCCCAACACCTGCAGCGCCGAATCCACTACAGGAAGAGGAAGAGAAAAGAAGAGGAAGAGAAAAGAAGAGAAGAGAAGAGAAGAGAAGAGACGAGAGGAGAAGAGAAGAGAGGAGACGAGAAGAGAAGAGGAGAGGAGAGAGGAGAGAGGAGAGAGGAGAGAGGAGAGAGGAGAGAGAAGAGAGAAGAGAGAAGAGAGAAGAGAGAAGAGAAAAGAGAAGAGAATTAAGTAGTTTCGTGAAAAACGTTCACATGTTACAACATGACACATTCAACTGGCACATCACAGTCGCGCACATGGCTCTCTTTCCTTTTCTCGCAGCGCACATGGGGAATCGGTCTTCGAATCTGCACTTCACAGGCTTAGGGCTCGGCACCTCGTGAACCTGCTGCACATTCATGAGTTGATCCTGCACCCTACTGCTGTCATTGCCATAGAACAAAGAGTCGCGGGTCACCACGGATGCATCAGCACAAACGGCCACAAAAGACAGTTGTTTTAGATGGAAAAGGGTCCAGTAGACCACGCCATCACAAATTAAAGGCTCACAGTAGTGGCTACGCCAGCAAAATACTGCGGCAAGCGATTGCAAAGGAGACAAAGGAAAGCGTGCCAAAACTGTTTGTTTGGAACGATGGCCTCATTGACTATAGGCTGGTCGCCAAGTTTGCAACCGAGGGGGACAGCAACCACCCTGATAGGCATCAAATGGACTTTCATGGCAATCGTGGCTCTGTATTGCAGCAATGACTGCTGTATAGCACAGGCAGAAAACTGCAGACACATGAAGAATGCAAGATGAAAACAGTAAACATTACGGCTGGCTGTGAGCCAAGTACATCAGTACGACATGTACTGCGGAAAGACACTGCTGCAAACAGAAGCCACCACTTGTGACCATTGACCAGAGAGGGGAGTAGTGTAAGGGAGTGGAAGGGGGGGACAGATCGAATTTCATTCGGACAACTACACTACCCGCCTCTCCCAGCCCAAAAGCTCAGAGCAAAAACACATGTTCACTCCACACTCTCAGCACATCTGACTCGTGTGGTTTCGCTCACTTCTTAACACGTTATCAAAAATGACCACTTGTTTAAGTAGTTTCGTGAAAAACGTTCACATGTTACAACATGACACATTCAACTGGCACATCACAGTCGCGCACATGGCTCTCTTTCCTTTTCTCGCAGCGCACATGGGGAATCGGTCTTCGAATCTGCACTTCACCCCTCTTATCCGAAACCTTTTAAGATCTGCCTTATCAGCGGTTTTACCTCAACTTGTCGAACCGCATTGAAGAGTCTTAGATCATTTCTGGACGGATAGTCTGCTATGTTGGACTCACTGGCTACTCTACAGAACCAAGCATTCACACCCAATCTCATTTCGACTTGCAAAAGTCTCTCGAGAAGATGTATACCTGCTGCATTCCTTGCTCGTCCGCTTATTGCTACGTCCCTCACCGCATTGTTATCAATATAGCACACGCACGAAGCTGATTTCAACACGCTCGACCAGCGGTACATTGCAACGATCAAGGCAAGAAGCTCAGCTTCGAATATGATGCTCTTCTTGGATTCACTTCCAAGTTTTTTCATCTCCTCGTCCGATAAAGAGCATGAAAAGAACTCTAACAGAATGCCTTGGTCATTCACCAAGACGCCCCCCAATCCGCATGCCCAGAATGGGCTAGTGGGTTCAAAGCATGCATCAGTAAACAAGAAGAATGGTCTATCTGTATGACACGACAAGACTCTAGGCTTTCCGGAGCTCAGGAAACCCAAAAACCTTTTGAGGGCCATTTCTGCTTGCCCGTCCAGGGCTTTGCCACCACTGGCGCAAAGTTTTGAAACTTCAGCTAGGCACAACTTACTCAACCGACCATACACCTGAGAGTCTGCAAATTGTAGCTTGCCCCTCAACACCTGACCTTCTTTCTGCGTCACATTTTTGGACTTCAAGGTCTCTTGGATTAAGTCTGACAAGTCTTGCTTGCGCTTTTCTGTGTTGTCGAAGTATACCTTGCCTCTGCTAAAGTCTTTTAAACAAACTTTTATGCCTAGCGCTGACACCTCGGATGAGAACTGCTGACACTTTTCGCCTTCTTCGGCAAATTTCCAGCCAATCAAACGGAACAAGGCGGTGACTGCAGCGTCAGTGGATTTAACCATGCCTTGCTTAGAGAAGACCACAAAGTCGTCGAAGAAGCAGGACCAAGGTAGCTTCAGCCCCACTACACCGATATACCATATTGACCTTACCACCCTTAAGAACGAATAGACAGCTCTCGTTGCTCCAAACGGGGCCGCCTTTAATTGAAAGATGGAAGGTGACTTGGTCTTGGGGTTAAAGCAGGAAACAAAGGCTGCCCATAGATCACTTTCACAAATTGCCAGCTGTTTATACGCCGACTTGAGGTCGTAAGCACGGCCTTCCACGGATTCACCCGGTAGCACTTTCATGAGGCCTATTAATATTGCAGCAATGACATCTGGTCCTTGGGGCTTGGGCGATTCATTGCTCTGGACCGTTCCATTCTGGCCTCCTACAGTCAAGTCATCGATCAAGCGGGTTTTTGGACCTTGCTTCAAGCCGAATCGTCGACCTATCAGAGAGGGCTCTGGAAGGGAGCTAAGCTCCATGGGCCCCGCCAGCCAACCTTTACTCACTTCCTCTATGGTTTTCTCAAAGACCTCTGCATCCAAGTCTCTATCTCCTGAGGATCTAGTCTTTTTAAGAACAACTTCTCTTAGGGTCTGAGACTCCTGTTTTGCGTCTTCTACTGAAAACTCTGCGGGCTTGAAGTGCTGCGGAAAAACATTGGTTAGCGGAACTTCACCTAGGAGTTTTGTGCCCTCTACCAACTCATCCACTACTCCCATATCTTCGTACTGAAGATCTTCGAGCATTTCCTTCCACAAGGCAATCTTCTTATCCTTTAGGATGGTCTTTGCATGTTGCGGGAGGCTAGCTTTAAGGTCTCTTTCCGAGGCTCTGAGCTCTAGAGTCTGGGATCTTTCAGTCCATTTCTTAACCCACTTCAATCTTAACTTAACTAGCTCAGCGTCGCTCAGGGCTTTGTGCGCTTCAAGGGCTTGATGGAGAATCTTCGGCAAAAAGGATTCATATTGAGATGGGTGACCTGCTGTTACCGCTTCTTGCACAAATTTCTCTGGTTCATGCGGCACGCCCCAGGCTAGCTCAAAAACATAGAGCATCTTATCTTTCTCATAGTCATCCCCATCCCCCCCGATTAACCGAATTGGTGTGGCGCGGAGAAGTTTGGAATGAATGGGAACTTCGGGCAGAGCACACTGCGCGAAAGGCGGCACGGCCCAGGGTTTGGTGAGCTTCGTCATGATTGGACATGGTGCTGGGATTGGATGGCGCGAACGCACCATGAGACACGAAGCAAATTCTGGAACCAAGGCAGGTGCTTTTGAAGCCCGAGGTTGATGCCCAGTGATTGAACGAAGCAACACTGAGTTTTCAATTAACTGATGAGGTTCGTATGGTGTGTAACCAGGAGACCATCCTCGATGCTTCATGGCTTCAACGAAGGCAATGGCAATGTGAAGAGCCAGAGCAGGCGGATAGGCTGTCTCTAAAGCGGTCGCAAAGTTGCCCTGTGCCGGGCCATGTTGTACAAGGCCCCAGGGCTCGTGCACGTGAGCCCTAGATTCTCCTGGACAAGTTCGTGAAATCTTAGCAAAAGCGGAGTGGTTGTAAGCTATGACGGTCCATTTGGGGCGAGAACTTCCATAACCACATGCTTGATGTGCTTGATAGCGGAAATGCTGTGAAACTGTTTTCCAAAAACGTGTCTTCCAGAAGAAACTGCCTCTGGGGTTTTCGACGGCAACAATTTGCTCACGCTCAAGACAGTTTAAGATCACAGTGGCCAAAAAGTCGAACAGCTTGTTTGCTTGACTGACCTTAATGCGTTCAAGCGTGGTAAGGCCCGGAAGACCTTCAGGGAACTGATCTGACCTAAGTGGTCGAGGGAGTTTGCAAAAGTTACCCTTTCGAACCCCTTGCGCAAGAGGGATGTTGCGGGCTTTACTGCAAGTTCCGCACGGAGGGGCTGCGAAAATGCCTGCGCACAATGGACTTTGCAACCAACGCATGAGAGTTCGCTGATCCTTCTGCTTGGAGAGATCTAGGATTCGAACCGGCGCTGTGGTGGCTCTATTTACATGGTCTACACCGAAAGCTTGACACACCCCGAAAGCTTTGAGACAAGCCGTGACTCTGGCAGAATCACAAAACAGTTCCACAACGAACGGAGCTGAAGTGTCACGCAAGCTGTTGGCATCATGCGGCGCACGGGATTGCTCAAGGACGGTATTTTGTACATCGGCATTGGTCGGAGACCCTGGAGGGTGAGAACACGGTTCACTGGTATTAACAAAACTTGTGCGCTGTTGGACGAATGGAGAATTTGACTGTGTACGAGCTGCTTTGCTGGGTCTAATGAATTCGGAATCATGCAGGACGTCGCCATGAACACGCTTTGCCCCTAGTCAGGAGCCATGATCTTTTATGCCATGCGCGCCAAAACACTTGCAGCAAACATGCTTTCCCTTGGCGCACGAACCGCCATCGGGTCCGTTGGCGCAATGACTCAAATTGTATGAGAAGCAGATCGCTTCACCTGCTGGCGTCTCGGCAACTCCGCCTTTCTGGTAAATCGCTTGCGGAATCTTGAAGAACCTCTGCCGGACTCCAGCCTTTCCTTTTCCTTTACCTTTGCCTTTTGCGTTCTTGTCGAAGGCGTTCTTGGGCACTTCTGTTTTTTTCTTCTCCTTCTCTTTTTCCTTCTCAGCTTTGGCAGGCAATGGCATGAGTCCGAAGGAAACTTGATATGAGTGTAAGGCCTCTAGGAGTTCGGTGTCCATGGCACAATCCCCACCAGTTGACCTCTTTGGCTTTACGCCTTTCTCGATCATCACTTGGAAAACCATCTTATCTGCGGCAACTAGTTGCGACACACTGCACCTAGCAAAACCTTTCGGGGGGTTTGACAGATCGAATTTCATTCGGACAACTACACTACCCGCCTCTCCCAGCCCAAAAGCTCAGAGCAAAAACACATGTTCACTCCACACTCTCAGCACATCTGACTCGTGTGGTTTCGCTCACTTCTTAACACGTTATCAAAAATGACCACTTGTGAGAAGGGAAGAGAAGAGAAGGGAAGAGAAGAGAAGAGAAGAGAAGAGAAGGGAAGAGAAGAGAAGAGAAGAGAAAAGAGAAGGGAAGAGAAGAGAAGGGAAGAGAAGAGAAGAGAAGAGAAGAGAAGAGAAAAGAGAAGAGAAAAGAGAAGAGAAAAGAGAAGAGAAAAGAGAAGAGAAGAGAAGAGAAGAGAGAAGAGAAGAGAAGAGAGAAGAGAAAAGAGAAGAGAAAAGAGAAGAGAAAAGAGAAGAGAAAAGAGAAGAGAAAAGAGAAGAGAAAAGAGAAGAGAAGAAAAAAAAGAGAAAAGAGAAGAGAAGAAAAGAGAAGAAGAGAAGAGAAGAGAAGAGAAGAGAAGAGAAGAGAAGAGAAGAGAAGAGAAGAAAAGAGAAGAGAAGAGAAGAGAAGAGAAGAGAAGAGAAGAGAAGAGAA